GTAGTGTGTGTAGTGTGTAGTGTGTGTGTGTGTGTGTGTGTGTGTGTGTATAGTATATATATATATATATATATATATATATATATAATATATATATACTAATATATATATATATAGTATATATACTATATATATATATATATATATATATATATATATATATATATATATATATATATATTCAAAAAGACATACGCTCGCACTTTCGCAGTCTGGGATTTACAAGTTCAACATATATATGGTGCTGGAGTGTATTTTAAGGTGTGCTCTCACAAAGCTATCCTAGGATCAATTGTTTGATTTACTGATAGGAAGATATATTATTGCCACTACATATACCTCGTTCATTGATGCGGTTTATTATATGCTATGCAATAGGATTAAAAAACCAGGAAAATCAGATACATGTGCTCACATGGTACTTGATGAGGACTGCCACACTGGGTTGTAAAAGCTCTGAAAATACAAAACCTTTAATTTGGACACGGCGAAATGACCACCTGACTGGGAGCAAAATACACGTTTCTCACCCTGAGGTGGTATTTCATTTCACGTTGATAGTTTGATACCTGCGTTGTTTTCTACTATAGGCTGTCGATGTCCTCTCCAGGTGTAGCGCAGTGGAACTATGTTTGGTCTTAAACGGACTTTGTTCGTTTTAAGGCAAAGAGGTCTACGTATCTGCGTATTCCATGAGGAATAATTTCTCAATATTGTTTCACTCCTCATACCTCAGACGCTGAAGACGACAGTCTAGAAGCTCAGATGTGTGGTTCGCGGGTGTGCACTTTTTCGGATTCTCAAACAACACTCGTGTAGATATACTTGTGCTGTTGAAACCGGCTACCAAAATGGCATATTCAACATGAGAGGCGGCTTTGGCGAGTCTTCGCACCCTACTATGTAATACGTTGATGTCGAGTATGTGGTTCGTCATAAAGGCACATTTTGAAGAAGAAGAAAAAATTACTTGTACCGCTAAAGTGCAGCAATGGGCTACCACAAATTGCTGTTTTATCGCCCAGTTCATCGCCGTACAGGAATGGTAATCGTCAGGGTGTGCACAGAAAATCTTCCATGGGAGATAAAAATAGCTAGATATCTGACAACGCTGTATGGGGGTATTAAAAAACTCAATATATTTGCGATAGTCCTATCCCTCATAAAACATCGCAAGCATCCTCTTGCCACTTTCCAAGATCAGATCGCCCAGTAGATTGCCTTCTGCCGGATTTACGAACGCGTCGTCTTCATCTGGCACGTGCTCGAATCCCCAAACTTGTTGCATGCAGGTCACGGCATTTTCCATGGTATACCGTCGCTCGACATTGATATTCAATAGGCGGGTCAACATAGTCCTCAGGTCCGCTGGTACACACTCCATATCCTCCGCACTAAAGCCAGACTTCATGTACCGCCGGAAGCTAGGATCTTTTTGTGTCGCTACGGTCCACGGCTTCTTGCCCAGAAGTGAGGTAAACACGACGACCCCAAACGCCCACGCATCCACAGCAGCGGCATCGCTGGAACCTCCGTCGATGAAACCGGTCACCATATCTCCAAATGATGGAAGTGAATGTATCTTGTCCCCGCGCGTACTATTACTCTGACTCTGCTCGCTCCCGTCAGTGTTGATACCAGATCTAGGCGTGACATGCTCGGGTGCACTGTAACCGAGGGTCCCACCCTCTGGTTTATCATGGCCATTGAAAATTATTGATTTGCGTCTAGCATCTGTATCTACAGCCATACCAAAATCAATAAGCTTGGCTATTCCGGTATCCGTAATCACAATATTCTCGAGTTTAATGTCACCATGGACGATGCCGTGCTTATGTAAAAAGGCGATTGTTACGGCTATCTGCATGAGGTATGATTGTAACTCTTCGCTTGTCATATGCTCGGACTCTAACATAGCCGCAAAGTTTTGAACACTCTTCTCGCGCTTTGCACCTTTAAACGACGGCTGTAATGTTTGACTAGAGTCCGGCCTCGACACCTTAATGTCGATTTCTGAATCGCTTACTTTGTCAACGTGCACCAGTGGGCCATCGCCAGTAGCGGACTTCGAAGACGCCGTCCTCGATTTGTCTAAATTGACCATTGGGCGCGAGGTATGAATTTGTGAATTGTTTGGAGGCTGTACAGCTCTTTTGAATACCAGCGGTACGTCTCCAACTGATGCAATTTTCTTAAAGTTCATTGTATCCGTAGAATTGGTTGAGCTTGAGGGCGTTGTTGTGTTCGTGCTGAGACTTCGCTGCCTGAATTTTACCTCTCTGAATAGACTGCCTTTGGAGCAATACTCCTACACGTACAACGGGGAATTATAAACTTACAAAACTGGAATGTGACAGTCAAAGGTGATACGATGGGTATTAAACCTAAAAAGTCTTAGAAATAAAACCTTTTACACGAATAGCAAGTTCGATCGAAACATATGCTTCTGCAAAAAAAAAACTGAAGCAAAGTACCTGGATGATGTGAACGTGGTAATCGGTCTCATATACATCGTATACTTTGACCACATTGGGATGACAAATTCTCCGGAGAATAGCGACTTCTTTCCACCTGTGCATACACGTACAGTCCGTGGGTGGAAAATGGGTGTGATTCGCGGTAGTAGAAAGTGCACCCATTTTGAACTTCTAGTGATTTGAAACCATAGTTCAAGATAATACACCGTATCATCACATCCATCGCACGCACTTCGATGTTGCTTAACGCTGGTATATAGATGAATAACAACAAAGATATGCAGCCTCTGTGACCAATTTTCGAAGTAAACACCACGAACTTATACACCAACACATAAAAACTTAGACATATAAGTGTGAATATAGGTTTACTAAACAAACACAAGCTAATATACATTTCTGCATTGATTGATGTAACGTTCAAAACTAATATATATATATATACTATATATATAAATGAAGTACAAACCCAAATTTGATCATGCGTGCGTGTGTGTGTATGTGTATGTGTGTGTACGTGTGTAAGTTTTCGAATGATCGTTTACTATTCCACACAAGACGACGCACACACTAACAAT